TAATCATAATTTGGGATTTGGGATTTGGGATTTCGGCATTTGGGATTTCGGCATTTGGATTTTGAATTTGGGTGGCAAGTATAATACACATACAAACGATAATAATAATAATAATAGAAATAACATTTTAAATAAAAATATAAACAATAATATTTCATTAAATATCAATAATAATTTATTAAACAATGGAAATAAAAACAATAAAAAAACAAAAAAAAATAGGGAAAAAAAAGGAAAAAAAAGGAAAAAAAATAGGAAAAAATATCAAAAAAAAATCAAAAACAGATGAAACAACACAAAACAACAAAAAAGAAATAACATAGAAAATAGAAACAAAACATATTATGGAACCAATGTGAAAAATTAAAAATCGACATTATATTTTTACAAGAAACCAATATCAAAACAAATTCAACAACATTTTTCTTCTCACACACATATATAACATAAAAAAATGAAAAATTTCTACTAAACGAACCTGAAACATATAAACTTGGAACTCATCAATTGAAAATAGCAACAAAAAACTAGGGCAAGGGATAACAATAGCAATTAAAAAAGAAATAGCAAAACACGTATACAAGAAAAAAGAAATAAATGGATATGCTCTAATATTACTATTATCATTTAAAGGAAAATACACAGTTCAAATAATCTCAATTTACAATCCACCACAAACAACAGAAAATACTGAAATAAGATTAAAACTCAAAAAATGGGTAATAGAAAATCTAAACGAAGCAAAATCAAAAAATTGGTATACAATAATAGGAGGAGACTGGAACACCACACTCAACTCAGAAAAGGACAGAAAAACAATACCAATAACAAGAAACCAGAGTAATAGAAAATCACAAAGCTCAATTCTCAACCACATGAAATACATGGGATATATAGACTCATACAAAATAACAGATGACATTAGAAAAAATACAGAAGAAAAAAACCTAACATGTATCAAAAAAACCAAAAAATATATATCAATAACAAGAATCGATGCAATATGGGTAGACCAGGATATAGCAACAAAAATACTTAAACATAAAATAAAAGATACACTAGAACAATTATCAACAAACCACAAAATGATAATAATCAAAATAGACCCTTCAGAATGGATAAACAGAAAATACATAGCTTGGGTAAGAAATGCAAATCAAAGACCAAAAAAACTATAGGATATTAAAAAAACAGATGAAGAACAATGGGAAACATACAAAAATGAAATAGAGAACAATATTAGAAAATTAGAAGTAGAAATTAAAAACAAAACAATAAACAATAAATGGAACGCTTTTAAACAAATAATTACAAATGCAGCAAATAATAATATAACAAAAGCTAAAACACCAAAAAACAAAACAACAAAAAATTATTTTTATAAATCAACTATCATCCAAAACATAAATAAACTAAATAAAACATTAAGAATAACGAAAAAAAAATTTAAAAAATAAAAATAAAAATAAAAAAAAAAATAAAAGAAGAAACAAATAAAAAAATTGAAAAAATAAATAAAAAAATAAACAGAAAAAATTACAAAAAAATAGAATTAATAAAAAGGAAGACAAAATAACAGAATGGTTAGTAACAAATAAAATACTATGGAAAATGTGAAGAAATGAAGTAAAAACAGAAATAAACGAAATAACAAATAAAAAAATAAAAGAACACATAAAAAAATGACAAATAAATTTAAAAGAAAATCCAAAAACAATGATAGACTCAATATTAGGTCAATGGAAAAAGCAAATTATAACAGATAGAGTAGTTATAACGAAGAAAAACAGAGAAATAGAAATATTAACTAACCCTACAAAAATAAAAAAATAAATAAAAGAACATATGGAAAAATGGATGGCAAATTCAAATGAAGAAACAACAGAAACACCATCAGAATGGAAAAAAGAATACAAACCGAAACAAGAAATACAGAACACAATCTTCCAAACAGTAATACAAGAAATATCAATAGAAGAACTAGAAAACATCTTAAAAGAATCAGCAAAGAATAAAGCTCCAGGACCTACAGGAATAACATACGAAATATGGAAAAAAATGGGACTATTAGGAAAAGGAATTCTCAGGAAACTCCTAAATGAAATGATAACTTCTACATCTATAGATATTTGTTTTCCATTAATGGTAATAGGAAAATTTCTAATTTTTTCTAATAATTTACTTCTTTCACCAGTTACAGTTATTATTTCACAATTTGATACTTCCTCTGGTTTATATTCTAATTGTTCAATTGTATCTCTAGTGACAATACTTGCAGCTGCTCCACTATCAATGATTGCTGGTATATTATTTCCATCAACTTCTACTTGACATTCCAACACAGTAGTTTTAGGTATAAGATTTTGACTCACTAATTTAACATCAAATTCTTTAGGCTTTCTTAATGCTTCCAATAATTTCTTTTTCTGTTTTGGATCTAATTGCAATACTTGTGATAATGTAAGTTCTACTTTTTGTTTTTCTAATTGTTTTACAATATCAAATTCTGGTCCTCTCAATAATAATGGCACTTCCTTTTTGTTTTTCTTAACAACTGTTTCAGATTTCTTCCATGCAATTGGTTTCATTTTCTTTTTGTTATTCTTTGTTGATTTAATTCCAAATGTTCCCAAGGTTCCTGTTGGTTGAATTCCCATAGGTGTATAAGTTGTTTTTATTATATTATCAGTTCTTGGTTTCTTAGTTTGGAAATCTTCATCAATATCACTATCTCTTCCATGTTTTTCAACTAATATTTCAATCAATTCTTTAGTTACTTCATCCTTTAAATCATTATCACCTTTTGTGTTAGTATAATTTGTATAGGTCAGTTGTTTTGGTTTTGGTCTATTTTGATTATCATTTCTTTAATTATTATTTCTAAAACTATTATGATTATAATTGTTTGGAATGTTTTGATCCCACTATCTTGGTCTCTGCACTTGTTGTCTACAATCTCTACTAATATGTCCTAATTTTCCACAATTGAAACATCTTGGTTCTCTGTATCTGTAATTAGGTAAATAATTATTATTTCTTAAATAATTATTGTAATTATTCCTTCCTTGATTATTCATCCCTGCCATTTAAATTTTTAATTGGACTATCTTTTTGGTTAACTCTTCTATATCATTCTCTGGTTTAGTTTTCTCTTCTTCTTTCTTTTTCAATTTTTCTTTAGTGTAATCCTTTTTAATTTTTCTTTTAACTTCTTCCTCACTTTCAGATTCAGATTCAGTTTCTGTTTCATATCTCTTTTCTTTTCTCTTTTTAATCTTGGGTTCAACTCTATTAGTAATGTCTCTTCCTTCCTCATACTTTTCAATTAGATTAACAATATCTTCCACTGTTTCTTTTTCATGAGTCAATGCAAGTGAAGCTAATTCTGGAGTTAATCCTCTTAAGAAATATTCTGCCTTTCTTTCTGGAGTTAAATCATCAATTCTTTTGCAAATTTTCTTGAATTGTACAACATAAGCTCGTATAGATTCATTTCTTCTTATCCTTAAATTATTTAATTCACTCAAAGCTTTATTCTTCCATCTTCTATTGTTAAATATGTTCCAAAGTAATTCTTCCATTTCTGCTCAAGTTAGTTCATGACCTCCTTCCACATTCATTAATTCTAACCACCGTTCTTCAGCATCTTCTTTCAAGTATATTTTCATGGCATTTCTCTTTTGTGCATCTGTTTCCCATCTATTAATTCTTGCAGCCTTTTTAAATTCACTCATCTATTCTACTGGATTTTTCTTTTCATCTACATAAAATATTTTTGGTTTGAATAATATTTGGTTTGCCATTCTTTCTTTCAAATTATTATTGTTAATTTCTTGTTCTTCTTCTTCTAATTCTTCTAATTCTAGGTTGTTATTCAGAATGTTATTACTTTGATCTTCTGCCACTTTGACTTCTCTTAATTCTTCAATTAATTGCAGTCTTTCTTTATCAAGTTTCTGAAATTCTT